ATGCTTCTGAAATTTAAAATGTTTATTATAAAAATTATAACAATTTTCAAAAAGTATATAGTATCAAAGTACTAATTTTTAACATCTTTTTTAAATTACATTTACTAAACGAAAAATAATTTTATTTCTAGAAAGAATAAAAATTCGCATGTTTTTCCTAGAGTGACATTGGTTTCGCAGCAGGATTTTCTGGAGAAGACCTCCGAAAAATACGGAACGAATTTCACGGATAAGATCGAGAACTCTATTCCGAAGCCGCCACGCTCAAAGAAGAAAAGCAAGTAGTCAAACGTAAAGTTTTCGCGGTCGCGATTAGCCGCGTTTAGTCATCCGATTCGCATTAAACAAACACGATTATTTCAAGTCTGCTTGAACGTGAAGCAGCGAAACGGACAGAGTGTTTGTGATCAATTTGAGATCATTTATGTGTTATTCGATTCCGCTGTTGCCTATAACCGAGCGGCCGATCGTCCGGAGCCGCGGTTCTTCCTCAAGTAGATCGTAGGTTGTCCGTTTTTACCTCGCTAAGAGATATTAGCGATGCATTCACCCGAAGGACGTTCGCGAAAAGATCAATGAGAAAGAATCTTCGAAGAGAATCCTCGAAACTCGATTGCTCCCGATAAATCACAATTTCCAATCGATGGCTACTGTGTCGTCGTGTTTACGGTTCGCGTTTGTTTTCCATGTAAACCGCCACCGCGGCCTGATACATAAGCATTCGGGATGGTCGAATTTTATTTTTGGTTTCGATTTATAATCGTACACGAGGCGTCGCGCGTGTACGTTTCGTCGAGGTCGTAAAAATGACGATCAGAATCACGCCGAACGTTCGTGATACTGGAAGATCCCTTATTCCCGCAACTCTGATAAATCTCGATTTTTCTTCAAGGAAACGTGAACGTGTAACTTGAAGCATGCGAACCGAAATTCGGGGTTTTTATTGATTAAAGCGTTAAAGATGATCGAGCGGACTTGCGATCGACGTCGCAAGTCTTCCCCTAACTTATGATACATGCGTTTTACGTACAAGATTTTATATCGATGCAGTTACTGTCAGATGGTTGTTTAAATAAATGTCTTATTAATCAACGATTGTCTTTTGATTATAGGCTAATTATCCCGCTGCGATGGAGATGCGGAAATTGATATATTTGGATATTCTTTTATCGATTCTTTGTTCTTTATTGATCCCTCAAGTCGATAGTACGCACGGCGTTCTATCCCTCGGAACGGCGATTCCGTCGTTGCCGGCGATTCTTGGCCTGAGACAGGATCTCGTACGCCTGCTGGATCTCCATGAATTTTTCTTGAGCTTTACGTCTTTCCTCTTCCGAACCTTTAACCTTATCAGGATGATTATCCCTGGACAGAGTTCTCCATCGTGCCGTGACTTCATTCTGCGAAGCGGTTTGTGACAGACCCAGAACCTGCGAAGGATAAGAGAGTGTTATTAAGGTGTTCTATCTTAGATCTTTTCCTAATTAAATCTAAATTTAAATCCGATAAAATTCGCGAACACGACCATGTAATTCACTGTCTGACCTTGTAAGCGTTTATCTCGCCTCGAGGATCTGTAAGATCTACCAGTTGCGCCCACGTTGCCCAAAAACCTTGATGCTTTGCCTGGTTCCACGTGGCTTCTAAACTTGCCTGATAAAGAATATCGGAATATAAAAAAAAAAATCTCTGAAATTTGTCAAAATTTAAAAATGCCCCAAAAACGTAACGTTATTATAGAGCTACCTTGAGATCCGTCCAGATTGGCGAGGTGAGGAAATGTTGCACTGCCTCCGATAGCTTAATCTCTTCGCCTTCGCTATCCGTAATAACCGCATTGAAGTATAAGTAACCGCCGATCACGGCAAAGTAGAGCATCATCGCTAAGCCTAAGCACACCATTCGCCGGATGAAGCTTTTCTTCTTCTTTGGTTTCAATCGCCATTGCTTGCTAAAGGAATCGAAGCTCAGAGTCGAGGCGATTGCCATGAAGAAGATCCACATGCTATCGTCGCCGATGTAGTACAAGGTTGGATATAAAAAATAAGCAGTGACAAGCGTTGCCCATATCGAACCTTGTTCTCTTCCGATATTTCCGACTGTCCATACACCTTTGGAAATATTAATAGTGAATAAATGCCTATATTTCTAAAATTTTTTTACAATCTTTTTCTTATTTTGTGAATTTATACATATAAATTCTAAATAAAATGCTTATGTTGTTAATTATGCGATGTTCTCATGCGGAAAAGGGAAGTAAGAAAATTGAGAGCGATGTTACGTCGAATGAACAAGTCGGTTGATAAATTGACGCGTACGTTCTATCTACTGATATTAATAATATAAATAAGAAAGTTTCTTAGCGATGTCATTTCTTCAAATTTATTATTTACATTTCTTATTCTTAACGTATCGATCAATATAAGACAAGGGAAAGCCGACCGCACTATTTATATGTGGGCTGCATTCGGAGAACTTGTTATCAGCGTTATTATATTCTATCCTTGATTTACGTTTAATAAACGATGAAGATAGGATGACGCAAATATATGGCTAATAGCACACTTCTTGAAGATATCTAGAAGATATAATCGGAAATTGAAGATATACTCCGTATAAGAATATAATAAAACTCCAGATATAATAAAACTCTTGCAAACAATATATAATATCGGCTTTTTCATAATATTTTCCATTTATCACGGACGATATTATTTTTAACTAGCTCTGTCCAGCACATAATGTGGCCTTGAAACATTATCGTTTGAAGAAACCTAATTTACAAGAAAAGATAAGAGAACGCACGACACATCGCAAGAATTAATGAGCTTACGAGGCTTACCTAGAGCGATCACGGCCGGTATTAGGATCAGCAGACGCCTAAAATTTATACCATATATTTCCTCTTGTGGAATTGCGCTATTGAATAGCTCGGCCCATAAATAAGCGACCGCGGCTTGCGCTGAGAATCGTACCGCGGTAAATGGAGGCTATAAAAATTAATCCAAATTTGTTATAAATTTACAAAGTATCAGTTAAAAATTGCATTTAGATCCATCAACTTTCCTCTCGTTTAACATCCTTGTTATATATATTGGTAAAATAATTTTCGATTCTACGGATCGTATAACGCAGCGTCATGAATTCTTTGAATAACGATAACGCGCAACAAGTAGTATGTTGTGACTGATATTATGACTACATCCTATGTTGTAAAAGACAGTCCTTTATTTCAGATAGCTGTCCTTTAGATTTATTTATGTTTTCAAAACTCGATTTTGTCATTTATCTTAACAATATTATGACAAAATTTTTCTAATTAACATTCTAGTGTCTAATGTCGTGCTAATGATAATCGTACTAATTTTTGAGAAAACAACCGATTTAATTTTGTTATACATTCATCACAACATATCATTAAAAGTTTTTTTTTAATTTTTTGTTAAAAAAATATATGTAATTTGTACATATGTAATTTGTCTTTTTTTAACAAAATTTTTTCAATTTTTTTTATTAAGTTTATTCAGATCCATTTTTATTTTTTATTATTTCGAACTTATTTCAGATTTAAATCAAGAGTCGTTTCAAGTCAAATCCATTTCAAAAAAACTAGTGTAGTATCTTATCTTTTTTGATGTGCTGAAAACTTATCTGTAATGTACAAACTCCTGACAATGACAAATTGGTTTAGAAGCATGTATTAACAAAGTTTTAAAATTGTCAGGTTTGTCCTTTATTTTTTTCTAAGAAAATATAATTATTGTAATCATGACGCTTAGAATTGGTAAACTGTATTTTGAAACTGGCAACATTAATTTTTTATTATTTATTCTGTAAAAATCCTAAATGAATATTTAAGTTACCGAATATTTAATTACCTTTCGATTGGTTCTGACTTTTCGTTTAAAATCCTCGATAAACGACGGATCCTCATTTGCCTCGGCTACGTATGCAGGTATCCTGTAAATGTCCCTGAGAAAACCACAACCCACGTAACCACCCAATGTGCTCATATACACAAAAGCCTGATCGTCCCTGCCGAGATACACATGATGTGCTCCGAAAAGTCCACCGAACAGCCATAATACATAAGCCCAGAATTTGCTTTTAACACTTTTACATCCCACATTACTCAATCCATTTTCTTTTGCTTTTCCCATGTTATCTTCTAGAGCAACAGGTCACAAACTATCCATTTTGATTCACCGTATGATTCATAAATCGTACGTCGCAGCTCCCGTCGCAGATTTCACAGAATTGCGTGTGAAAAAAAATCAGCTGTTCTTATCACATGTCGTTATTTACGCCATCTTTATGGATGGAAGTAATATTTTGCAATAATTCCTTCCTCTTCTTGGACTCAAACACACTTGTCGGTGGTGTATCGTGGAATGACGTGGTTCCACTGCACCGGTTTCTGGTTCAACGCTCCGCTGAAGTCCTGGTATAACGGTACCAATTCAGGAACGTAACAAGCAAAAAGATGTCTTAATAAGGAAATTATTCTTAACAAGGAAATTGAATCACAGTTTAGGAAACAGTACTGAGAGAAGGACACAAGCATGAATTGAGAAAACATTTATTAATTTATGAAATTTATAAATGAAATTTATAAATCTTTGATAACATTTATTATACAATCATTTAATCGCAATATATTGTATCAGGCATTCCATGTTTTAAATAATTTTTTATATTGTTTAAGATGTTAAAATTAGTTGTATATTTAGTTGTATATTTTATGTCACAAATACGAAAAAGAAAAACTTGTATTAAGAGATGCGATTGTATATAAGATGTTTCTCGTAACTCATTCTTCATGAAAAAAACAAATTCAGCTATATAAGATAAATTAATTTTAAGATTATTTTAAATAAATATAAAAAAGTTACATTTAAATCTGATTTAAGGGAAAAAAGCATAAGACTTTTCCAAGTACAATAATATCATAAAATACATATATTTTTCTTTTCAATTTATAAAAATATTGTTCCTATATTATTATTAAAATTATTAATTTTATGGTAAAAATATCGCTTACTTGTGCTTACTCGATTAAGATTAATATCAACTAACTTTTAATAATTGACAATCAAGTTTTTAGTTTTAACAAGATTAATATCTTATGACATAATGGTAAAATATTATGGATTATATTTGGGTTGACATCAATCAATTGTAAACTTTTTCCGTAACTTTCTTGCAATAATGTCATGAATATACCATGTATTATTTCTACATACATCTACGATGCATCAAATAATCTTATAATAGTACATTACGGTTATAAAAGTTATGATTATTACTATAATAAAATATTTTTTGCATCAATAAATAAAAATTTCATGAGTAAATTCATTTTATATAAATTCAATTTGAATTCAATTTGTGAATAGTACCTCCATCTCTTGGCGAGATTGTGAATAGTGGCTCCATCTCTTGGCGTGAACTGTGTATTACTTACAATTGTGTTCTCGCGTGTTTTATATATTTGATCTGTTTCTTGCAGCTGAATTAATATATACACTCGTATTTAAAATGAGATAAATATATATTTTTGATTATAGATATATATATTTGGGATTTGATAAAAGCGAGATATAAAGTAGATTAAAAAAACCTTCTTTTGTCTGAATTATCATTATGTTAACTGTCAAAATTGGCGAGTTAATCAAATAAACATAAAAATGTTCTAAGTGTGTACTTTACTTTGTCCAGTACTGTATATATAATTTTTATTTTAATGTTTTACAACATAATAAGTACCATCAAATTAATATTAAATCCTCTAAAAACTAGTGTCCTCTAAAAACTGAGATAAGAAATCAAACAATAATTTTAATTGATTTTAAACAAACCTTTCTGCAGTAAAATTTAGATTGCATAAGTAAAGTAATAAGTTTATGAAATTATTATTTTTTATCGTTAAACTATCTATTGCAGTCATAACATAAATGAAAATCATATTTATAATATATCACAGGTTATAATATATCATTAGGTGAGCTAAGACTGTACTTATATTTTTTTTATAATTTAACAATAAAAACAATATAAATATTTTTTAATCGTAAAATAAACTATATATAGTTTATACATATTAGATATTACAAATGCGCGTTATTGTCAAGAATACATCATTGTAAAACAAATGGACTAAGTCCATCATTAATATGATTAACAAAAATATGATCTTCAAAATCCCAAATCAATACAGGATTTAAATAAAATTCGAGATTGCAATTCGATAAGCATTGATGGATCAAATAATATTCTTCGGTGTAATCTTTAACTTTCGTGTAATCAACATCTTTTTATCTCAAGATTTTATGTACCGACGATCAGCCGGTTACATCTTTTGTTGTCCGGAAATCAATATGGCGTCGGACGTTAGTCGTACACCGATGTTAATAGTCGGTCACCGGTCCATTTCAACGTGATTATTTTCGAGTGTTTCATACATTGTTGACCATACTTATCGTTGTTCCCAAGAATGCGTGAGGATGGAAGAACATCATTTGATGAAACTGAGTCATAAGCAGTGGCGTCGTATCGCAAAGAAAGAGCGTCGAAGACGTATACGACGTAAAATTGCAATAGAACGCGACGCTAATGAAGAACGCTTGAGGGCAGCACTGGAGAGCAATATGGAGTATTTAAAATTTTCCGCGGAAGAAGAAAAGCGAGAAAAAGAGAAAGAAGCGCAAGAACAAGAGAAGCATGCGGAACGAGAGAGACTTTGGCTGGAAGAAGAGGTAAATATATAATTGTTTTGTAATTACATATTATTTTTAATACATTTAATTACATTTAATACATTTATATTGACTTCTTCATATGTTTCTTTATATTTAATCTCTAAAACATCTGGATAATCGAAATTAAAGTTTATTTAAAAAAATTTATATATATTCGATAAAAATATTCGATAAAAATATTCTTTTGCACATTTCAAAAACTTACAAGAAAATATTATTATACAAAAGAACATCGATATCTCGAATAATCGATTATCGATTACGTGTTTAACCGTTATCATGTATAAAAATATACCACGTTGCAAAACGTTTTTTTTTTCAATATGTTAAAATAATTAAAAGTAGTTTATACTTTTTATTATAAAATAATTTTAGGTGAATTTTTGGAGACCAACTTTTTCTATATTTATATTTGTTTGCTATTTGTGCTTATATGTTTGAGTTTACGATTTTGACGAACGTTTGAATAAATGTTAATATTACTGTTTTCATACAGAAAGAGGCTAGATTGTACCGATTGTGTGTTAATCAATGATTGGACCACGTAAAATTTTCGGGACAGAATTATTTACTATATCTGCCCGCGATAGACATAATTCTCGAGCACATACATTTAATGACGTTACTTCTCAAGTAATAAAGATTTTGTAAAAAAAAATATAAAATGTAATAGTAAATGTAAATAAAATTTTTTGCATATATTATATGATTACTACAATTGCGAAAGTAATAATGTAAGGTTTTTTGAATGACCTATCTTTCCAAATTACGAATTTAAAGTAGACTATTATAGTTTATAATTTGAATAATTGGCCATTATTTTTTAATTATTTAGATAAGAGTGCAGAAGGAATGGCAAGTGCTTCAGGAACAAAGAGCAAAGGAGAAACAGAAGAAACTCGAGGAAAGGATGAAGATTCAAGAAAAATTTGAAGCAAAGCGTGCAGCAATTTTAAAGAAAAAAGAAGAAGAAAGGGAAAAGCGCGAGGAGCAACTTCGCCAACAGCAACAATTGCAGAAAGAAATCAACGATTATATTGATAACGGAATGAAAACGCCCGAAATTTTGCGAGAAGTCGTTGATAACCAACCTAATAAAGAACTCTGTCCATTTTTCGCGAAAACAGGTGCTTGCCGGTTAGTATGGATATTTATAATATCCATACTAACCGACGATATAATAATATTATGATTTGTTAATTATTCATAATAATACTTGAAATATATTGAAGCAATAAGAGTGATTTTGTCATATCTTTTATTTGTATTAAATTAAACTTAAATTGAAGTAAATCTAAATCAATTTAGATGTGGAATCAAAACATTTTAATCAAACAAAAACCGATCATTCATTTAAATGTATTTTTATCTTCATTTAAAAAAAATCTATATTTATATATAATAAATTTTTAATATGTTTAAGATTTGGAAATGCATGTTCTAAGAACCATCGTAAAATCTTCCTGAGCAAAGTGATCTTAATACCCGGGTTCTATTCACATTTTTCTCTTGAGAAACATTTGGCGGAATATGACACTGATGTGGCTCTCGAGTTTGAGAATTCAGAAACATGGAAACATTTTTGTGAGTTTTACGAGGACGTAGTAAGTGAATTGGAATCGTTTGGCAGGATTAAAACTCTTAAGTGTTGCTGCAACAAGGAAATTCACTTGCGTGGTAATCTGTATGTCGAGTATTATACAGAGAGAGAAGCGGCTAGGGCTTGGAGAAATCTGAAGGGACGCTGGTACGGTGGCAAACGACTCAATTGCGAGTTTATCAGCTTGACATCTTGGAGAAGCTCCGTTTGCGGTATGACTAAATGTCCGAAAGGTAGCAAATATTGTAATTTTCTTCATACCTTCAGAAATCCGCAAAATAAGTACAACATCAAGAGTCCACCCCGAGCAAAAAACTTATCTCAAGACTCAAGTAATAGCAGGCGAAGTGAACACAGGTTTGTGTTATTATTTATTTTATGCTGCAATTTTACCACATCTTATATAAAAAAAAGTTATCTCATTAATAAAATTCATAATTGAACATAATGCAGAATAATAATAAAGTAAGATTATAAAACATAAAATATAAAAAAAAGTTTTATTATTTAATCTTCTTTTTATTTATTTGCTAGAAATAAGTCTAAATGGGAAGATCGAGACGATGACAAAAAAGATCGCGATTGGAGGTGGTCGGAATCGCCCGAGACTGAATTAGGTCATCTTTCGAAAGATTCAAAGGCAAAACGTTCCCATTCTACAAGAAGAAACAGTTTGCAAGAATTCTCGCGTGATAATAAACAGAAAAGGAGCGCAAGCGTAAGGAGTTCTAAGATCAAAATATCGTCTAAGAAGCACCATCGATTGAATCGCAAGAGAGCCCACCATGACAACCATGAAAGCCAGAATAAAGAAGATGCACCTAATGGACCTTCTCTTAAAAAACGTAGGAAGAAAAAGTAGAAAAATGAGAAGCAGCTTTCCTTTCGGAAAGGAAGAAATATTTAAAAAAATATTCTTAAAGAATAAATCCAAAGAATATAAGAAGATTGTGAAGACAAATCGAGCAGCTGTAATTTTAATTTTAATTTTAATATCGAAGAAATAATTTTATTGAACATACGAAAGTGATATGAACAATACTATATTGTATCAATATTTAGTCAGTTTCAATTTCAGTAACAAATTACTTTTTTTTTACGTAATTATTAATTATTGTATTTGTACAGTAGTTCTAACTTGATCAACAACTGAGTCAATTGTTTGCCTGCGACAATGTACAATATAAATAAAATAATATAGAGATTAAGTATTTTTAAGTATTTTTTTAAATATTTTTATTTGAAATATATGTTACGTAAATTTGCATTTAATCGTTAACATCGCTTATCACATGATAAAGATACACCTGTATTTACAGAGCAATCGAATGTTTCAATGGATAGACATTTCGTAATCACCATGCATCTTTTCGCTCGCAGTTATTTAATCACAAAGTATTGTTTTCCGCTTTCTGGAAGTAATGTAGTAATTGTCGTGTGCAACGTTATCGGGTGTTGTGGAAAGATTTCATATCAATATCGCCCGGTCATAATTGAAGAAAATGATAAGTATTAATCAGTCGCTTTTTAGCGCTTATTTAACGTACTTTGGGAACTAAACGATCGTTTCCTATTCTACATTTAAAAGGAGAAGCCGATCATGATTATACTAAATATATTATTAATTTTGTGTTCGGTCCATCCCTTCGTCAATGGGGTAGAGTTCCGCGGGTTTTTTCATAAAGGTTTAGAGGATCCAGAGCCGTTCGCAAGTGCAGCCAACACTGTAATCGAGGGTTGGATCACCCAACCACTCGACCATTTCAATCATCGCGATAATCGCACTTGGTCGATGGTAATTATTGTCGTCATCCGATCACCCTTATTTTAAGATATTTTTTTTTTAAGAATTAACGTTTATCGATTGTTCTACAGCGTTATAAAGAAAACTCCGCGTTTCTGAAGAAAAACGGTCCTATCTTGATCATAATTGGTGGAGAATGGGAGATAACAGATGGATTTTTGCAAGGTGGATTAATGTACGAACTCGGAATGAAATACGGTGCTTTAATGTATTATACCGAACATCGATTTTACGGAGAGAGCAGACCAACAGAGTATATAATCCGTACTTTATGATACGAATTTTTTTTAAAAAAAGTAGTTTTTCTTCATTATCCAAAATTCAGAAATTTCTAAATCGATATTTTATGAAATAAATTTAGGGATACTAGCGCAGAGAGTCTGCAATATTTGAACGTCGATCAGGCGCTTGCTGATCTTGCTTATTTCATCGAAACGAAGAAGAAAGAGAAGAATTTGGAAAAGAGCACTGTAATAGTATTCGGTGGTTCTTATGCTGGAAACATGGCAGCGTGGGCACGCCTCAAATACCCTCATCTTATTCAAGTATCATTATTTTCTTGATATATTTATATTTTAAGAAATAAAAAAATATAAAAATAGACAAGAATATCTTTTACAGGGCGCCTTAGCCAGCAGCGCACCGGTACAGGCAAAAGCAGATTTCTATGGTAAATTATTTTATGGAATAGATATTCATAAAGAATATTACTAAGAATACTTAATTTTATAGAATATTACGAGGTCGTAACAAGATCGCTCGGTAGATATAGTAAAAATTGTGTCGAGAGTATAAGAACTGCATTCGCAACGGTGGAGAATTTATTATCCACGCAAAACGGTCCTAGTGAGCTTAAACGTATCTTCAAGTAAGCTTAAATGTTGAAACTCGCATGCAATTGTATAATAAAATAAACAGTAAAAATGCATGCAATAACTAATAATAATAAGGAATAATAATTTTTTTATTATTTCAGCTTGTGTAACGTGCCCGATGTAAAATCTCCAAATGATATTGGTTATTTAATGAATTCGCTGACGGGGGTACATATTTTACGATACATATTTTATCACAACGGATGATATTACTACATCTAGCTTATTATTTATTTTTATTCAAACTTTAGATATTCGCCGGAACCGTTCAAACTGACAGGATCGAGAACGGTCGAAGTAGGATCGCAGCATTATGTGATAGAATGACAGCAAAATATTTAGGCAGCCCTGTGCAAAGACTCGCACGCCTCGTCTCCAATCAATATGAATGTCTCGATATAAATTACAATAATTACATAAAGTATTACCAAAAGACTTCATGGAACTCGCCGGGAGCTGAGAGTAGTGAGTTAAAATGTCGACTAACTAATAGAATAAATTAAATTGCATATCGTATAAGACGCTTTGGACGCTAAAGAATGATTTTTATTATACAGTGATGAGGCAGTGGTATCATCAGACCTGCACAGAATATGGTTACTATCAAACGACATACTCAGAAAAGAAATCTATCTTTGGAACGTGCCCATTAAGTTATTATATCAATATGTGCATTGACTTATACGGTGATTAGTAAGTTTAAAAAATAAAAATGTATAATTTTTTCATTCGAATATATTCACTTCCATTTATAATTTGCAAATGCCTGATATTTCCATCATGTATCAAGATATTTCTTCACAACGTGTCTTTTCAACTACCAAACGTAAATGTTAATCATACATAAATTATCTGTCGAAAGAAATATTGAATTTTAATGGTGAAAAGTGACAATTTAGAAATAATAACATTAAGATTGATTTCAGTAACGATAAAAACATATTGGATTCACGAGTGAAAAGAACGAATTTGATGTACGGGGGATGGTTACCGGCTTTACGAAACGTCATTTTCACGAATGGCGATATCGACCCGTGGCATTCACTGTCAGTGCTTAAAGATCTAAATGCTTATTCTCCCGCTATTGTCATTAAAGGTAATTAAATAATGTATTGAAAAACACGAAAAAACACTTTGCATTTTTTTACACGAAATTACTATAATAATTTAACATTTTACAGGAGCTTCCCACTGTCGCGATTTGTATAGCGACGTAGCCACGGACTCGGCTGATTTGAAAAATGCTAGAGCAAGAATTCGCAGAATAATCGGCAAATGGCTTTCCTCGGGAATAAGGGGATAAGGAAATCACAGAAGTCCGTTTCTGTTGAATTTTCTACGAATACACTCGTTGCTGGATTTTAGGACAGGAAATATACAATAAAATTATATGTTTCTTGCCGTTTTAATTGTGAACCATTAACAAAAAGATTATGTACAACACTTGCTATATAATGCGATAGATGGTGCAACATCTAGATAGTATATATATCGATTGTACTGCGTATTGTAATTTAGATAAAGATACAAAAATAAAGTTACATCCTCTTGATACCAGAACTAATCTAAAATTCTGTGCGATTTTCAACCAGTCCGTATCTCGACCGTCCCCTGCCTCTTATCTCTAAGTAAAAAAGACATATTTATAAGAAGAGAGAGATAGCATTTGATCGATGCAGCAAATATCAATCGACTTCGAGTTTCCGGAAGGAACCGCTTATGCCGCACATAGTAGTGTCGTTGGAGCCCACGCTGGAACAACCGAATCCTTGTTTCAGTGCCGAGACCGCGCCTTCCCGCGCTTTCTCCGAGTACAGCTCGAGATAGACCGTCATCTTATCATTGTTCATTAATAGCGGCTTCATCTCCAACAGTTCTTTACGCCATAAATCTATGTCGGGACAAGTGATTGAAAGAGAGTTTAGTTTATTATTCTTCCCTGCGGTAACAACAGGAAATTGTAATTAGGGTGAATTACCGATCATCTCTTTCATAGGGATGGTGCCACCGTACTCCTTGGGAAGCATGCTCACATTCATTTTATTGTTAATGGCATCCTCGAGACTTGTGTAAAGTTTTACGCGATTCCTGATTTTCTCGGAAATCAATGACATCCCGAAGTCCAGGGCGAATTTCACCGAGGGATGCGCGTTGATCGCGTGGATTTCCTTGTGTCTCATCGGTACGGTACGCTGAAAGGAAACCGTTATCATCGTTTCACTCATTTATTATACTGGTTTCTTATTTATTACAGCATTTATACATACAAACTTATCAAAAGTTTTTATGTAATATCTTTATAATATATCTTTCTGTAGTTTTTATAATATATTAACAGAAGGTCCGTAAATATAATTGTATTACTATTACGTGAAATTAATTATTATTATTATTTAAAAATAATTATAAAGATATTAATGTTTTAAGGTAAAAATTTCTCATATAAAAATATCAAAATCATAGTTTCAAAATTATAGAGGAAGTACAATTAATTATTTGTTATTTAAAAATTGCACTTAAGCCCGTAATTGCATAATTATTCAAATAGAGGCATAATGTTAACTTCTTTAATTTTTTACTTCAGCTACCATTGTTCTTTCTTAGCTCATAAATATATATTATTTTTTATTATAAATAATTTTATTTCTTTTACTTTGTAAGACTAGTATTTATCGTAAATTGAAATGTAATTTGAAGTTTTAATTTCTAATATTAATTTATATAATATATTTGTAATATATAATATTACATTTATTAATTTTCACATAAATATTAGAAATATAATAAATATAAGAAATCCGAATATTATCATTTTTCTGTTAGTAATTGTGACAATTGTTTGTCAAATTTTGATTTAATTTAATAAAATTTTTAAACAATTAACAAAGAATTCAGCTCGTATTAAATAACAATTTGCTCGTTTATTTGATCTTTCTTCTACATTTTCTATTTATTAGTTAATACAAGCTGAGCTTTCTTTGTTAATTGATTTATATGCTGGTTTTATAATGCATTCTAAAAATCCTCCTTTTATCACCGTTTTAATTTTAATTCATAATTTTACTAATAATGTTATTAAATTTCATTCTTTTATATGAACGGATGATGATGACTAAGTTAAGTCAAAATGTTCCGTCACTTATTATTCTTTCTAATTAAACATTTATTTAACCATCCAATTTGCTCATTTATATGGCCTATTTTCTATTTATCAATTAAAATGATTTCAAATCGTAATTTATATTTATATATGTTAATTGATGTTTACAGAAACAGTTTAAAACTCCAAAATTAATTATCATGTAATATTCTCGGCAAATATATATAATGAAAAAGAAATCGCATAGTTTTCTAAATTTTGCATAAATTGGTTAAGATAATTATAATTTCAAACGAAATGCAAACGAAACAGTAGAAATCACCCAGAGCTTTAATTATACATTTATTTGCAAGTGTAATGATATATTTGCAAATGTAATGATAAATTTGTTAAGTTTTACAATTCAGGCTTGCTCAGAAATACTTTGTTATGATTTTTTTTTGCGCATTTTTTGTATTTTTTGGATAGCGCATAACAAGCAACAGGCAATAAGCACAAATTAGTATAAATTTATATAATTTAAATTTTTAATTTGTAGTTTTTGATTATTGTAGATTTTGATTATTGTTTAACAATTTAAGATAGAATCTAATTCTAATTGCGGTTATTACGTTAAGGAGAAATTTAAAATGCGCAAGAAATATATAATATTTCAGCAGCAGAATATAATTATAATTTACAAGAGGAAAACACTGAATGATATATGTTTTTCAAATCAATTAATATCAAATTCATCGCAAAATAGATAAAATTGCCATATAATTGTCATTATTAGCCTTTTTAATCATCATATTATAAAAATTAACAATTTCCTTAACGACAACTGTTCGTGATATTATTTAAATACAGCGTATAATAGAAGAATCAATCAGCATGTGAAAAATGCAATTTGATTTTATAAATTTTTTTAAGTAAGATTTTTTTAATATCTTTATCTAGATTATTATTTAGATGAATCTTATTGTTAAATGATTAAATATTTAAGTAAAATACATTCTTCGTAAATTGTTGATCTAATTAGTGTAATGAATTATGCTATAGTTAGAGTGGGAATCTATTTTAATTCTTTCTAATAATATTGTTTCTGAAAGCAAAAAATTTTTGTTTAACTTATTTTATTTCTTCAAATAACTTCTAAGTAAACAAGAAAGATGTCTACTTAAGACAAGAGAGATGAGATTGAAAAACCGGTTTTTATGACTTACGGTTTGGGAAATATGATGAAATTTTATTACGTGACATCGTCCTTGGTCCAGACTCGCAGCTAAATGAATTACGCGTTAATGATGAAAACTTTCGCGAAGATTTAAACGCAACAATTTACTGACTCAATGAGACATGTATAGAATTAAAAAAAAAAAAACGTAACCATCTAACATTGCATAAAATTGACATATCCAATATTAGAAATAAGATAAACATTTATGAAAAGTTTTAAACAAAATTTTGAAATAATAAATAATTTGATTAATTATCAAATATAGAGAATCGTTAATATTTAAAAGTCTACATTTGAAAAAATATGTATATAAATTTATACTAATAATTTTCCATTAAAGAGAATTTACAAATAAAAAAAAGATTAAAATTAATGAATTTGAGTTGTGAAGTATTATCTACTATATTGTTGTACTTATCGGTAAGTTAAATTAAGAGATTGAATTTTATTAATTAATTTTAGACTTAATTTTACTACTTATACGGACTATACTTATATGGACTGGGCAGAAATAAATCATACCTCGCCATTTTTCACGATGCGCACTGCTTCTTTGGGAGTGAAAAGCGTCAGATGAGGGAAACTAACGCCGGCACCGTCGGCAAAATGTACAAAGCCACGTACTTGATTCTCTTCGTCTTCCATCAAAGCCTCATAAGTAATGGCATGAATTTTGCACATGTCCACGTTCGTGTATTTGTGAGGATCAAATACGCCTTGGGCGGAAATTGTACGTAGTGATTAGTAAACGAGGTAAATGCGTTGGGAGAGAAACACCGAAAATTATTACGTATAAACTTAGACGTCTTATAAACGTAGAGTTTACGTGAATATATTTTTATTAAAGACATTTTCTACACGGAAAGAACGAAGAATATATTTACACACAACATTCAAATTGATTTGTAGAATATCAAATAATTTCTAGTATTATCATCATGTAATTTAAATGTGTTCAATCATTATTTTGATGGCCCAACAAAAATATTTTCAAATCTGTATATGATCAATCTTTTAAATACTTTTAAATACTTTAGAAAATTCATTCTTTTTGTGTAATTATATTTTTATTCTTTCGAGAAGATATTACCAAACGTAAATGCAAAATAATGTACACAGATGTTCTCTTTCGCTAATTAAATAGAGAAATTATTCATTTATGAGCTCAACTTTTGCGATATAAGCACAAATATATTAAACATACGCAAGAATTTTAACAAATTATTTTTAACAATACTAGTGTGTGATTTAATTTCTCTGATCGAATAAACATTTTGAGAAATGTTAAAATTCGTAAATTACGTTGATAAAAATGATGATATGGCGGATATTCAGTGTTTTAATATTCATTAAATATGTATAGTTCATGTACTATGTTCATGTACTATAGTTCATGTATTATGAGGGATGTACTTATGTTTTATAATATTCAAATAATATTCAATAATATTCAAATTTTATGTATGAAAATAACCAACGCATACCTGGTCTAGCAATTATAATTCGGCGGCCTTTCGCATCGCGACCAGGAGCAGCAAAAAGATATCTAAAAGAGAAGATTACAAACGAATTCCAATGATAAAAATATAATTTAAGAAATACTCACCCCAATGACAATAAGTCTTCCATATTAGGCTCTGTGATATCCAACTTATGGAATGCCTGCTGATACACTTGACGGAGCAACAAATATCTTTCAGTGGCTTCTTGAGCCATCGGGACATTGAATTTTTTGCATCGCAAGAATTTTAGCAAGAATCGTGCATCTAAAAGACGACAAATTAATGTCGAATGTTTAATTATCAACCCAAGATCTGATTGTTAAAATTTCATTTCAAGACAATCTCCTAAAGTTTTATAAAATCAAATATGAAGAAATTACGGACTTAATTATTATCTATATTATTATTATTATTATTACAGACTTAATTACGCGCTTAATTATTATAATGTAAAGTAATTAAAATTTATGTAATGTTATTATTTAAAATAGGTAATTCACGGTTTTTCACGGGGATAGAGTTTAAAGTACCTACTAATCTTTTTAATTTTTAAATTCATTAAAGATTAAATTAAAGAAATATTTTTGGTCTTTCTGAGATAATATTTTTCGCAATAAACATTTCTTACGGAAATTTAATTGATATTATTGAATGGAGGAAAGAGGAAAACAGCTTTTGACTGCTATCTTTTCAACAACCACAAGTAATCGACAGCAACAAAGGCCAAACATGTTTTTTTGAATTTATTTAAATTCAAAAATGAAAATGATTAATTATAGGTGTCTTTTAAAACTTGCTCGTCCATAGAAATTAAATAAATAGATTTTCAGTTTTTTGTTGATTCATACGTATACATGCATCTACATATGCTTACGTATTATTATTTAAATTCAAGTACTGTTAACGTTTTTTCAGTCGTAAATTGCAAAATATGATCCATTTTTTTTTATACTAATGCATGTTTATTTAGTAATCCAGCCTTACCGAGACGACAATTTTGAATGCGCGGATTCATCTTGATCCAATTGCGCATTTGCTCGAGAGCCTGATCCCTGGTATTTTTGTCCTCTCTGAGTTCATCCTTGGCAATCTTCTGCGTCTCCGCCGAGAGACTACATTCATATTTATCTTCATCGATTACCCATTCAACTGCTCCCATTTTGCTTTTTGAAAGATATCTAATAATGTCAATTCAAATTATCACACAGATCTGAAAACATTTTTATATATTCTTCAAAAAGAGATTTAAAATTATGATTTTTGGATCTTATCTATCAAAAATTATACTTTTCATTGCCATATTTTTATCTTGCGACTAATAATAATTGTTTTAAAGAAACAAAATATAATTACGAAGAAAAGGAAAAAAAAATCGAAAAAATGTAACACCTTAATATAACACTTTAAATTTTATTTATTTTAAATTTACTTTTAATTTAGATATATGATTGTATGATTGTACGGTAATGTAAATTGTAGACTTCTTAAAATAAAATACATAGTACAGTGATCCCTCTTTTATATTGTGTTGCGTGTTTAGCGAGAGTTTCTTCTCATTTATCATCCGTGTTATTTCCCCATAATAATCTTCCTTAATTATGCAAGCGATGATGAGTGTTTTCACTTTCTTCCGACTGGCCAGACGATACGATTTTCTGACCGGCTGACCTAATTTCTGTTCAAAGTCGCGGTGACTAGCGGTAAAGTCGTCAGGAAGAAAGCGTGCGTCTCTTTCACTTCTCTGAGAGCAGATCGGTTACGTTGTCGACCGATTAAATGGGAATTCTTGGGACCTTTCGTCAGTTTATGACATAACGATTAGCATGCACCATCGTGCTTGAACCACGTGCTTAACTCGGGGTGCCTGGCGTGTGTACCGGCCTGTTTCACAATCGCTTTCTCTGATTATGCAATGTTGTGAGTCGGTTGTTCACCCATCTTTGTTCACCGAAACAAACCGCGTCACGCAGCCCCCGGGGGGACGTGGTGTCAATTATCGTCTCGTCATGATACTTCATTATTCCTACTTTACTTATTCCGTTTTGTTTGAACTATCGCGATAACGGTTCGCGATTCGATTTTCCTTGCCTCTCGATGCGAAGCAGATTGAAGATATGAGAAACATCTTTAAAAAATTGGAACGTTGTATGTAGCGAGAACTATTTCACAATGAGCTGCCCGCTTTCTCTTGTCTAAATGCGTTTATTATTGAAAGAGATCCTTTATTGAAAGATATATATCCCCTTGTCTCGCAATCAGTTCCTTCTACTTTTTCAATTACGAACGTCCGCGTGTCCAGAGCGAATATAATTATGAGATTGTATAATCCTGTTGCAATACCACCTTCGTGTTTCGCACACTGGACCCATAAAAATTCTAACGTACGTAATATCCGTAAAATTATGTTACCGTTCGAGGAATAGAAACAGAGATTTGTCGGCAAATTAATTGTATCAATAAGATACATGTTAGTTTTCAGAAATTGTTGATAAAAAGTTCAAAGAAAAATAGCGAATCGTAGAAACACGAAAAGAATAGTTTTGCAGAAAAATCTGAAAATTTTGCCAGATACAAATTTGAAAATAATTTCGTTGAGTTGTCATGAAAAGTTATTATGTAAAATGCTTGAGCGTATTGATAAAATTGCAAAAATGTTTTACTTTTTGGCAACTACTAGTTTGAATGTAATTATTTTAGTGGGACAACAAAATTATTTTCAGATCTGTATCTGATCAGATGTTTAGACACTTTAGCAAGATTGCTCTTCCCATATATGTTATATCAGTTTTGTATCTAGCCTCTTACGTCAATGAAGCATAATCGCGATAGAAAACACGTACAAAACACGCTATATTATGACTATGATGGAGCCAGTTAAGGATATGCCGTCTTCTTCCGCGTAGAAAGTGCCACTTAACGCGTCACTACTCGCGAGCTTTCATCTCTCCGACGTCGATTGCGCTCGTAGAGAGCTTTTTTTCAATATGAGAATACGTTACGTCGATTACATCACGCCGATATATCCGTCCTTTCCATTTTTGTCTCAGCCCGAGGAAACTTAACGTTATTGCTTATTATCGTAAGATAAAAATCACGTAATTCTATATTACGTTTCTCGTCGCGTATTACGATTATGATTATGTCACAGCGTTTACGAGCAATTACGTTATCATTATCTGTTTGTGCTTGATTTCAAATGAAATCAAGCACAAACGAATCCCGATCTTTCTGATATTTAAATTTTCTTCAGGAGAACCACTTGCACCCATAACAAATCGCACGCCCCATATTCCTGACCTTTAAGTAATGCCGGCCTTTACGATCAAGGACAAGTCGCTCCGAAGATCATTGCTCGATTAAGATTCGCGCGACGTTTATCGATCCGACAAATTATTCTGCTGAACGTGATGGGATAGCCTAATGTTCACGTCACAAACAATATCATTATGTTCTTGTCGTATGATAATGACGTGTAACCCTTTCGAGTAATGTAACTTACTGTTTAGATGAGTGAATGATCAAAAAATCAATGAATGATCAAATGGATATTAATATTAATATTTTAAACATACACGGGAAGAATAGTTTTGCTGACAAATCTAAAAATTTGATTAGATGCAGATCTAAAAATAGAATTTTATTAGATCTAAATTACAATCTAAATTATTATAAGGACGCTTAAAAATATGATAAAAATTACTGCAAAAATTTTCTACTCTCTTCTTTTGACCTTCTTTGAATTTGAATCGTACATAATAATTTGATCATAATATATAATAATTTTGAAGACTCAAGGAAATTATTTTCAGATCTGCATCTAATAAATTTTGATATTTGCCAGCAAAATCGTTCTTTCTGTATCATTTAATCACTCTTCAATAAAAAGGAAACTTCGTTTATCGAAAGGTGTTTGTAATTACAAATTTTTACTGTTTGTAATTATAAATTTAACACGTATTTTAAAACACTATTATGAAGAAATAAGATTAAAACATTACACAAAATAATTAACTCAAAATATTAAATAAAATTATATAGAATTTATATACTCTTGTTTACAAATTTTTATAGAAATTAATATTTTTATAGAATATTAAATAAGTATCGGTTTTTAAGACAAAATTTATGTTCAGATTTTGACAAAATAAATTGAGATAAAAATTAGTTAAAATTTCATTATTTTCATTTTTCTAAAATTCAATTTTACAAAATTTTTTTACATTTTCATTCACATTTGTATCTGAAAGAAGATATTAAAATTGTTGCACTTTAAAGTTAATAATGTAAAAAAAAAAAAAACAAGATCATCTCTGCAGGAAGATTCAGATTAAAATAAAATTCTATGCGTATATTATATAAAGAAATTTTAGAATCCTATTTTCCTACAGTTACTTAATTTTTGAGGAACCGCGCGAGATCGAAGTGATAGAGATCTATGTCTTAACTCTGTCAACTATGTCACTCTACTCTAAAGAGATATATATCCTATACGATGATTATGTGAACGTACCCCGATCGTAGTGCCCCAGGTGCACACTTGGAAGTGACTGCCCCACTCTCGCTGGTCGCTCGCTCTTTTATAATTTCCAGCGTCGCCCTTCCTCTTCAATGACGTTTCCAATCGCATTTCGCGAACAAGAGTATCCTCGCGGATCCTTTGGGGTACAAGAAGGCGACCTCGCCTTTGTTCTCGATACACGACGAGAATTGAAGGTAATTCAACTTTTCCATAAAAATTCAAACGAGAACTTGCAGCTGCGCCGAGCATTCACCGAGGTCTTTTACCTTCTTTTATAGTTACAGGTAGCATCATTAATTATAAAAAAGAATAGAGAGAAACAAAATATATTATATATTACATATTATATATATTATATATTAACTATATTATATATGCAGTATTCTAATAACTTTATAAGATCTTTCGAGATTGCACACTTATTACAAACAAGCCGTCGTCTCGCCGTTCTGATAATCAAGACGTTGACCCGAACATCCTGAAGGATATCCGGTTCAACCGGATTGATAGAAGGTAAATCTGAAAAGAAAATCCTGTAACTTAACATACCACAAAACATATTTTGTTTTACTTGTAACAGCTAATGTATTTTTGCGACACATGACTATTACAATGTTGCTTGAGGACATATTGCACGAAATAAAAAAATACAATATAAAGTAAAAGAAGAATGAATGACTTGAAGAATACAACAATCGATGAAAGGGTAAATTTGTTGGCAAATGAAACGTGGATAATTACGCTTAAAAAAATCAGTCCAATTTTATTATATCTTACGTGGCGATAATCCGATCCTAGTTAATTCGACAATATCATTACAGATAGAAGACAATTCCTCGAATCGAGGGAAGTAATGATTATCCGGTGTCATAAAAACGGATATAAAAAATGATATCCGGTGATCAAGCTGAAAATTATTGGGTTGCATTCACGTTTATCCTCGGTGACATCTCAACGGCGAATGGAGCATCCACGTGCGTCAGCGTGCACGGGACAGGTTGACAGGATGCCAGGATATAGCCGCGACCTTAGCCAATCGTTAAAGACGAGTAAAAGAGTTCCGTTCCGGTAAGCAGGAAACGTTCTCCGATTCTCTTCAGTAGCGGATTTACACGCCGGATGGAGGCGGCAAGGGGGAAAGAGCGCCGCAAGATTGCTATAATAAATTAATCGCGCGTTTTCGTGAATATATATATACATATGGACTTTCTATTTCCCGTTCACGAGACATTCGGGGAAGTGGAGTAAAGGGGCGAATTCGTGAGTGCCGCGATGTAATACATAGTCTTTGCGCGTTATAGGTCGAGAAACGTAACTTCTGACCAGTTGCATCACAATCTCTCATCGGCGCACGTAACAAGTAAATGAGAGATACTTTTTTATCCTGGAAGCGTAATGCCACATAGGTGCGTGAAACAAAAATTCTAACATTGATGGATCCAACTTGAAGTTGCGTCACGCGGAAATTACATTATGGCTTAATTAAAAGAGAAATGAATGGATTGTAACGAGATTGAATAAATCTTGATAATTAAAAAAATCTTGTATATTAAAAAGATACGTAAATGCTAATGCATATAAAAAATGCGTTTACAAAATATTTAATTTATATCTGTGTTCGTCGGTCGACCGCAACTTGCAACATCTAATTGTAAGAGGATTATTAACCGTATGGAGTAGGAATTACTCTCTGGAATTACTGTTAACTTCTATCGGCTTAACGCTTTCATTTGCTTTCTTTTACTTTTTTCTATTTGAGAACTGATTTATAGAAATTAAATTATATTATGTTGTATTATATATTATAATAATATAATATCATATTATAATATTATTTAATTATATTATAATAATTTATGCATATTATATAATTATGATATTATATTATTTAATATTATAATATATTTTAATATATTATTATAATATATTATAATATATTTTATTAATATAATTATAATTATTTTATATTCTATATATATGATAATTATCACATTTTAAATTTTAAAAATATTATCATGTTACGTAATTAACTTTGTGACATTGTGTATTTTTTTGTAGAGATATTACAAGTATAAAACAATTCTGATTTGTCCGCAATTTAAATTTATAACTGCATATAATAATTACTACAAATTAAAAATTAAACAGAAAAAGTCAAAAAGAAAAAAAAAACTTTTCAAATTTTATGCTTCTCTGAAAGACCTCTATCTTACGAATATTTATAATATAAATGTATTACAATAATATAAATATAATACAATAATATAAATTATATATATTATAAATATAATATTTATAATATAAATTATATATATTATAAATATAATATTTATAATATAAATTATATATATTATAAATATAATATTTATAATATAAATTGTACTGATTGTAATCCAACATCTACATTGATTTATCAAATTTATGTATAAATTATGAAAAGAATATTCTTGTTTTTATTCTTCTAAGGTTTGGCACTTTTTTGGCAATTTTTTTCAACTTATTTTCATCCGCAATGCTAACTGTATAATATGATCGAAAGAAATTTATCTTCTACGTCTTGGGAAACGCTATTTATGCTTACTTAGACATAATTACTTGTAGCTAAAAGGAAACAAGGAAAAACTAAATACAATCGAGCGACTTTTCGGTTGCATAAGAACGATCGATGGTAACAACATAGTACAACATAACATCTACGTTTGGGCATTACGTGTCGTTATTTAACGTACGTAATATCGTGTTTGATCACTCAACGCTCACAAATCGTCAAATCTTGACTCCAAATGCAATTACAGAAAGAAAATTTCAAGCAAAGTCCGAGATATTACATATATACCGAGAATCTTAATCAACATGAGTTCGTTTAGCCACGCGTAACCGCACGCTGATTACGCGATTTTCACCGGATGTATGTGACGCGACATCACACATCATCACCCGCGAAAATCATCGCTCGTCTGCGATATTCACAATCCGGAAGTAATGTACAAGAAAATTTCATCATGAGTCCAAGTCGACGGACCGTGAATATCATACTCGTGTCCAAGTCGGCTTTCACCATAAGACTGACAGCCCGATCTTTTTCCATCAATTATCAAAATTATCTTACGTGATAAAGAATGTAACGGTCGACCAACGATTCAATTAATTAAAAATGCATTTAAAAATATATTCGATTGATAGGAACTGTCTATAATCTTAAGATTACTATAATATAATTGAGCAATGTATTATATATGTAAAAGATATGTGTGATATGATATTAGTCGGGTGTTATTTCAGTCGCAGATAGTACACAGTAATTTCATCTCAATTGTTTTGTGAATCATATAATTATTTCTTATTCCCTAGCGATTATCTGAACCTTACTATAAGCTCCCTTACAACCGGATTGATTTAGATGTAGATACTTTTTGATAAATTCAATCTGTTCATCTGTAAGATATAAATTGCTATTACTTGCCGCGTTTGTAATGCATCTTTCTATGTGTTTCTCACTTAAAAAATCATAGGGAATTATTGTGGAATCAATATCATTCCTGTGCATTTCGAGATTTATTCTGTTCAGAGTTTGATATAAAAGCGTATCACGGGTGTTAATATTATTAAACTGCTCTTCAGTCATCGGATCTAAAGTGAAGACGGCCAACACAGTAAGGTGTCGACTATTCCTATGCACATATTTGTCCAAATTTTGTGCCTTCAAAAATTCTATGACACTTGGCACATCACTATACTTCAAGTTGTCAAGGATGATTAGACTTGGATGTAACAAAGAATTGTTATAAAACTTCACAGGTTTAAGTGGAGGATAATATGTACGAACGGAGAACGATGTCGCAAAATTTTGCCTTATAATATCCACCGAGTATGATTTACCAACACCTGAGCCACCACATAGGATTATTAACCGTAAGAAAGGTTCGTCACGCTGGAGAACTTCGGTTAGGTCTTCTATAGCATTTTCCTGACCAAAAACTTGATTCCTCAATTCGATAGCAGCTTTGGCATATTCCATGCTGTGTTTGCGTTCCCGATTCTGATACAAGATTACCGAGAGTAGCAATATGAATGTTGATAATAATATCGTTACAACACATGTCTTGCAAGGAAAAGATGCTTTGTAAAAGCGTTTGCGATTTGCATTCGTCGTATTTTCCAAAATAGGTGAACAAGCTTCACTCTTCACATCTTCATGAATTTGCAGCTTTTTGCGAGGTACATTGTATTCCATGCTATCCATAGTATCCTTTTCTACACGTTTTCGTTTCACCGGTTGTGTCTGCTCCAGAAATTTATTTAATTCCTGATTGAAAAATAAAGATGACATTTGTGTTATTATTGTTTTAAAGAATAACTCAGATAATTTTGGCTTTGTAAATTTCTTTTTTACTTTGCAGTTATTTTATTACCTTTTCCATAAACTTATTTAGTGTAGATGTGAATGGTTGTTCCTTATTGTCCAAATAGATATGCATAGTTTCCTGAGTCATCAAATCATTATTACTACATAAAGAGATATTATTTGATGTCTCCTCCTGCTTGGTCTTGTCTTCTTTGGTTTCTCTTCTTTTTAGAATTAATCTTTGTCTATAGATTATAAAATGCTTTATTGATTTCATTCGACATCATATCTTTAGTACAAATGTATGTTTTATTAAATTATGATGCTTATATTAACTTAGAATATTATGTTTAAAAATTATTATACTTAATTTTAGTTTTATAAATTTGATCATATATCATCACTCAAATTTAAAACCAAATTAAAATCTTTTAATAAAAAATTTAAAATTTAAAATTCGATGCAATTGACACCAAGCTTGATTTTTCTACACATTTATTGAAAGATTAGTTTAATCAATAAATAATAATAATAATTTATTTTATATACATAAGATTAATAACAGTAAGATAGTTAAATATAATATATTTGAATATGAGAGATGTGTAGAAAGTTAAGATATTAGCAAGAGTGCTATTGTGATATCTAATCCAAAATAATAAAAATATTACCTCATATAGACATTTTGCTCCATCATCCGATTCAAATTGTGCTTTATTAAAATAGATAAATTTTTCTGCGGTTCCTTGATAAGTTTTATTTGTAAAAATAATATAGAGCAGCTTAATGTTTCATTTGATTCAATCACAAGTGTATTGGACAAAAGCTTCTTTGATATAGATGACAGATCTTAAGTCAAGTTGCTTCGAATTAGATTGTTTTATATTCAAGATGTTTCGAATTTGGCTGCTCCGAGCTCAATTGCCTCAAGTCAAATAATTCTGAGATCAATTATTTGAAATCTAATTCCTCAGAGTTATAATTTCCTGCTTTGAATCTAGTTGCTTTGAGTTTGATTATTCCGAACTGAATTATTTCATGTTGTTATTCGTGTCTTCTCTTTTCATCAATGTTTCTTTTTCAGTCTCTTGCGATAAGCTGAAAAATATAAATCTTCCTGAATGCTATATTCTATGAATACAAATATTATGCTAGACTGCTAACAGCGATTTTTATGATAAAGCTATGTTGTGTCATATTTTAAAAATAAAAATGATTACAAAGGGTAAAATTTCAAAGTTATGTGTACTATCTTTTTATATTAGCTTTTACAATGTTTTTAAATACTTGGAGAAGTATATATTTTATCCTAAAATAAATAATTATTATTAAAAAACTGAAAACATACTGCAACTGCGTTCCGTTTTATAACCTTGAAGCAGTTAGAAAGTGCACGAAACTAAAACGGAACGAGCCGCAGTACACTTCCATTACGTCATAGCATGAGTACTCAGAGTGAATAAAGGAACACATCCCGTGTCTCGCTACCCGCGCCATCCGTCGTTACGCAGCGTCAACTACACCGCCGGAAGCAAGTCTTAGTGTTGCGACTCAAGTAGTGCTTCCGTCCATCTTCCTGACCATCTTAGCGCAGCGTAGCGGCCATCTTATCGCAGTCGTTCGCCTCTATGTGCATAAGTCGCAGTTGTCTCGCGAGTGCATTGTCGTTGCCTCGACACGGTCTCGATCGCAAATATCAAGTCTCGCGAGTGCCGCTTCCTTCGCGAGTGATCATCTCGCGTCATTCTCACCGCGAGTGCTTCCCGTATAACCTCGTGCGCTGCACGTGTCCAGTGCGTGTCGCCATTCTGTGCGCGGGTGTCTATTTTGTGTGTGCGCCATTTTCTCTCTCTCTCTCTCTCTCTCTCTGCGCCACGCGCTCTCTCGCTCGCGTCTCTTACTTCCACGCGTTGCGCCGCGTCCCCGTCTTCCTTGCAGTGCCGCGTTCGCGTCATCCCTTGATGTTTGTGTATGCTCGTTGATTAGCGTGGCCATTCCTATTATATCTAAGGCTCAGGTTCGCTGCTACTTGCCGATACGCTATCCTTTGACGATCTCTTAGTTGGCACGGCAACCAGAATCCCATATTTACTCTGTATTTTAAAGTAAATTTAATCAAATGTATTTACCTTTTTGTTCTGGCTATTGACATTTTTCACCTGTAATTTATTTTCTTATGTTTTTTCTTTTTCTGTTGTAAAAGCAATCTCGTGAACTTTGTGTAAATGTTCAAATAAATTTTTTATATTGATTAAATTTAAAATTGCGCCACAAACTTTACACTATAATTATTTGGTTCAAAATAATCCTTTAGGTCTGTAGATTTAATGTTTTTATTTCGTTTATTAATTTTTCGTGATTTATGTCAAAATGTTTTTCCAAATCCAGAGGATTTATCGTTTTTATGATATTATTACAAGTGAGACATCTTACCGTAAAGTTTTTTTCTTTAATATAATTATGCCAAATTTCTCTTTTTCTGTTTTTTATCTCCATTGTAATCCACGTTTTTCATGTTCTATTGTGTTTTATCGTATAATCTCTTATCGACTAGGTTATGTAAATTTTCGTACAATACTTGCACATAATTTCATTTTTATTTCATTTTTCTTTCATAATGTTCCCAGGTCCAACGCATTGTGACAATTAATACAGATATCACGTGACGATCCGCGTATTATTAAATGCGCACTCAGAAATCCTCGGAAACATTGTGCGAAGAGATCGAATAGGGACATACTGATCTGTTAACATGTAAATATCATTTGAATTTGCCTTTATAGTTTATAGCAGTGACCGGAGAATTGATGAAAAAACTATGTGGGAACTAGATGGGAAAAACTATGTGAGAAGAAGATGGGAAAAATATGTGGGAAAAAGATGGGAAAAACTATGTGGGAAGATGGAAAAAACTATGTGGGAACTAGATGGGAAAAAGATGGGAAAAACTATATGGGAACTAGATGGGAAAAACTATGTGGGAAGAAGATGGGAATAACTATGTGGGGACTAGATGGGAAAAACTATGTGGGAACTAGATGGAAAAACTATGTGGGAAGAAGATGGGAAAAATTATGTGGGAATTAGGTGGGAAAAACTATGTGGGAACTAGATGGGAAAACTATGTGGAAAGAAGATGGAAAAAACTATATGAGGACTAGATGAGAAAAACTATGTGGGAAGTATATGGGAAAAACTGTGTGAGAAGTAAATGAGAAAATCTATGTGGGCTTAGACCGGATGTTTTTTTGTAATTTTTCAGTTAAGACAAGATTTCTTCTTTCATTTTCTTTATTAGGTTTTTGTGATTTACGTTTAAATGATTCTCCAACTGCGGAATATTTATTCTTTTCGTTATTTATCCGCAGGCAACACATCTAGCGGTAAAGTTTTCATGTTTTTATAAAACACCATCAAACTTTTTTATTACTTTCAATTTTTCTTTTCCATTCGAGGAAAAGATTAGGTTCTTTATGCGATACTATATGTTTAACCATGCAATCGCGTATGCATTGCGTTGTATAAATTTTATCGCAATAATTACACTTAATTTTATTTTTGCTTATCCGCTCAAAATGCTCCTGAGCCCAATGTTTAAATGCCCGTTGCATTGTGGCAATATGTATTAATTAAGATACCATAACGATCCGCGTATTATTATAGTTATTACTCCAAAGTTCTTGAAGAGACTGTGCGGAGATGTGGAATAGGAACGTACTGATCTGTTAATATATAAATATTATTTGAATTTGTTCACTAAAAAAATATTTAGCATAAAGTGTATTTATTTGTTTCTTAACCCTCCTATTTATCGAAAATCATCCTGTTTATATTCCAACTTTAAATACATAATTATATTCTTGATTTATATTTAATCTGTTAATATATGTCTTTTAAAATCCAATATTATTTCATAAATTAAAAGTTTTATTATATAAATCTATTCTCACAAATACAATTAGACTTTTACCTAAGAAAAATTTATTTTTTGAACACTTAAAAAAAATTTAATCGGTTAAGTAGCGAGAAATAATTTGTAATAAAAATGTATAGCAGAGGTAATAAAAATGTATAGCAGAGGTAATACGACGCTATGGCGTTTTTTCTTTTTTATATCAAAAAATATTAACGAGCACACTATTTTTTCCACTACATTTAATTCAATTGACATTTCTGATTAATATATGCAATGTGCAGTAAAAATGCAAAAAATTGCATGGAATATCGATCAAATTTAATACAACGCTCTATGCAGATGGAAACTTAAACTAAGTTGAAAAATCCTATAACATTTTGCAATTTTTGTTATTGTTAAAAATTTATTATTAAAGATTGCCAAAGATTGCGCGTATCAACTTTGTTCACCGCAAATGCAGAAGTGCGACGAAATGCAACTGCCAATCGTTACATACATTCACGTTGCAAGAAGCACAACAAAATATACAGTAAAATGCAGTGTAAGTATGTACATTATCTTCGTGCAAGTAAATCACCTAGAAGTAATAGAAAAAGTACGAAACAAAATTGAATGTTCTTGATTATCATCTTTCTTCAATGTGACAAATTATTACATACAATGCCATGGTTGTCATATGATTGTTAACATATTGCATGAGCAAACAGAATTGGAGTTGCATTTACGTCAAGTTCATCAAATTATTCAATCCTCAGAGAAGAATAAAAATAAAGAGGATAACAGAGATGTAATGATGCCACGATCCATAAATGAAAGGAATAATGTAAGTAACAGTTTTCAAGAAACTTAAAGTACTTAAAGTACTTATCAATTATCGGAGAAGGAGAGAACAATACAAGTAAATATATTTATGAATATTATTGCTTCAGTTTCTATAATTCAAACATAAACACTTACATCTAAATTTTTAAATCGCAAACTTGGTATTTGTTTAAAATTATAAATATTATAGTCTTATACAGAATGCGTACGTTACTAAAATATTACTATGTTATTTTAAATGTTGAATAAATGATACACACCCTACAATTTAATGTCATTAAAATTTAATGTCTATTTAAAAAATAAATAGAAATTTAATGAAAAAATAATATTAAAAAGAGAAATTGCTATATACAAAATGTGTGGTGAATTAATGAAACTTTAAATCCTTCCTTAAGAGTTAGATCACATTAGAATTAATCATAACCTTTTAAAAAAGATCAAAAATAACGCGTCCCTTTTCTTATTTATGTAAGAGAAAGAATTTTATACAAAAATTTCTATCAAAATTTTTGCGGCAATATATAAATATTATATTATAAGTATATATATATTTATTTATAAAACATTCATATAATAAAAAATTATAAATTTAACGCATTATTAAGAAAAATTTGTCAATAATTAAAAATTTATATCAATAGTAAATAATATTGAAACACTTCAATTATATCCAAGGCTTTTTTAATAATTACGAAAATTTACTCAGATTGACAGTTTTTAATAATATCTCATTGATTTTTTTATTTCTTAAAGAGCGATTAATAATAATGTTATACAGTTTACTTTGATTATTAGAGTTATATGATCAAAATTATGTGATTAAATTATAAAAATTATTTAAAAGAGTAGATGCTTAATATCTTAGAAAAATATATCGAACATAATTTCATAAAAGTTACTTCAAACGTATGTTATTTAAATGTATTAATATTTTATTTTATTTCCTTTTTTACACGTTTTTAAACAAGTTTGTGTTCGTGATATGTATTTAATTTAATCGATTATATTCTTATAAACGTTGACGGTCGATTCCACTTCGAATATAAAAGACGCCCGATGCGGAAAGTCATGGGACGATCGGGCATTATTAGCCAGCCCTGCCAGCAAACGTCATGAAACGGAGTGTGTCACCAGCGACGCAACCGAGATCTAACTTTCGGGATTCGCATTGACGCAAAATAGCTCTGTTGAAAGTTAAACATTTTTTTTTTTTTTTTTTTTTTTAGCCGTCGCAACGCCAGGCACGACACACGCGCCGATCCGTGTGTCTCGCGGATCAAATTCACGCGCACATGTGGTCCGATTCGCGCGTTCCTTTACTTTACAACATCGTGTGTGTCAGTCCAGTCCGGTGGTTCCGACGCTTCCGGCCGTGCCACCAGCCAGGACGGGGCTTCAGTTCCTGCTCGCGTATCGACGAGCGAGGTCGAAGTCGTTTCTGACGCGGTGCGCGCCGTTCCTCCTTGTGATGTGACACCCGGGGTGGTGGTGCTCGAGCGTGTGACGGTGTGACGGCAGCGAGAAAAGGCCGAGAAAAATGCGGCCGAACGCCGTTGTCCTGGCGCGGGTCTGCCTGCCGCTTCTGCTGCTGGCGGCTGCGACAAACGCGCGGATCCACAAGCTGGACATACGGGTTGGTTGCGACTCCTCCAGAAAGCGCGTCTGTCATATTATTGTTATTATCGCGCCTCCAATTGTAATCGCGGTGGGATCAAGCAACGCTAACTAAGCATCCACGGCTGCTCCGAAACGTGTCCAACGAGCATTTGTAGAGCATTTGTCGTTGAGCATTTTAACGAGCGACTGTCACGCACGGCGGAATAATCCTGCGGAAGGAAAGGCAAAGTGCGTTGCACACACGCCACGGTCGCACGGTCGTACGGAATCGTGGGAGACAAGTGGCATCGGTGATATCAGAGATCAGACGTGCGCGCGTCGATAATCTCGGAACACGTCGCACGCTACTAATTATTCTATTAATTATTTTAATAATGATGATGATAATAATAATATGTCATGGCGAAGGAGTTAACGCTTTCGATTGTCGCGACTGGAACGCGACGATTTTTACGATAGATGCGTCTGATTAATTTTCACACAAGATCCTTTTCCGAGCGAGGATCATATCGAGTTCTAAGAAAATTAATACATATCATACATATCCTACACATATCCTACACGTCAAGATCTATCTATTGATTTACATATGCGTGTGACTACGATCGATTCGTATACCTTGGAAATGTTTTTATAGACTTGTTATGGAAATAAAAGCCAAAGGGGACGTTGAGACCTCTGGCCTTTTTTCATGAATTTTTTTCTTTTCAGAAAATGATAATTTCTTTCGGAACAAAGTCCTTTCTGTTCTTGTTTAGAATGCACAATCCGTTAACAAGAATTTTTTTGCATTGCAGAAAGACAGGAGGCATTATATTACTTTAAGCACATTCGGCTTTTACATAGGAGGCATTCTGACTGTGAATCTCACAAGTTTCAAGTTTGAATCGGCGGACGCCGAGAAAAAACTAACACCGGAAAGCGCGAGCAAAGCCGTGGTAAGTCACTAATAAGTCTGTTTTTTTTAGATTCATTTTTTTCTTTTTTTTCTCTACGTTGGAGGAAAAGAGAAAAAAAAATAAATAGTTCAAGAAATTCAACTAGGAAGAATGGATCTTAAAATCGATGAGTAATTTTTATTTATTTGCATCTTCATAAGTCTTCGATATTAAATCATTCTTATTCGGGAAATACAAAAGCAAAGTTTTCTTAAGAAAATTTTTTAGCAACGAAAGTTTCCACCAGAAAAGAAATCGATCATGATACAGTCCTCTCTATTTACATTTTAATACAAGAATATAATGATTTTGTTACATTAATTATATTAGCGATTTTGAATTTTTCCTATTTTTATTATTATTTATATTGTTTTATACAAATAATTATGTTATTTTACTATTACTATTTTGTTTTAATATTTTTACTATTTATACTGTTTTATGTAATATAAAACATTAACTATTTTATAATCAAATTTTTTCGAGATAATTCAATTTGATGTAAAAAAAAAAAGAAACTCAATTCTAGGACACGTCCTATTATTTTTCTGCTTATTAAAGTTTCGGTCGGAACGTAGTAACGTTGCATCAATGTAATACATTGTTCTGTCATATAGCAACAGACACCTGTTTCTGTATTCCGCGCTTTGATTCTGAGAGAGCCATCCGCGTTTATAAATAAGCGCGCGAGTAATGCGGATGTTTCCTGCATCATCGTCTTGTTGGATTCGTGAATGACTTGTTCACGCGTGCAGATAGAACATAACTAACGCATAGAATCATCCGTTATTTATTTCGGTGCATCCTTTATTATTATTTTCAAATTTTAGAGACTAATGATTGTTTTTAGAGACTAAAAGCACTCGCGAATGCAAATAGTCGAATTATTTGTTTTCCATGCAAAGAATTCTTTCTTGCTGATTACCTCTAATTTTATATAACTTAATTTTTATAAGATATACTGTAATATATATTACATTATCTTTCGGCAGACATAAAACAAAGTGATTGTAATTATGCGATTATTTTCATATCGTATTCATGGCAATAACATTTTTATTTTATTTGCAGTTTGGATTTAGCTTGGGCCGAACGCTCATCGATGCTATTAATCCATACGTGCACAATCATCTGGACGGATGCTTGTTGCAAAATGTTTCGAATCTCAAGACAGAACAAAAGGACGACAGCTCGATCATATATTTTACCATGGACTTGAAGAATCTTACGTAAGTATTGCAATATGCAAGCCATGATAAGATTTTTATGTTAATTATAAGTAACAAGCGCAATAAAGATTTGTAATTCGATTTCCGCATGCCGCAGAATGCAGGTAGACTGCAGTCGCAATGTACACGCGGCACACATCTACAGGGATCCAAGCGCTGTATTAATGTATCGGACAAAGAGGAGTTCGCTGTCAGCAAGATTCAGCGATACCGCGCTCTTCCCACGGAGAAAACGGAACACATCGCACGGTGAGTCGCACGTTCCGCATCGCGTGCGAAGTTATTTCCATCTTCACGTGACACGCAGCAAAAATATGTATATGAGGTGACATGTCATCGCGAGCATAAATATCGTTAACAAATGTACGCGGAATGTACACGTGCGCGAGTCTCATCGATTTTCCACGTCAATTTTCATTCCTCTAATGTGTGACGTGAGCAGCGTTTATATACTTAACAACATGTTGCACAATGCACGACACATGCTCGCATTGGAACTTGCAACATTTGGCATATGCTTAAAAATATGTTAATTATGCGGACAGACAGACCTGCGATAGAGCGAGAGATATTTCACTTCGTAGCGTTGCGCAACCCAGGGATTTTAGACGCTTAGAAATTGCTTCAAAAACTGATCTGAGTGCTGATCCGCTATGAATAGAGCGATGAAATTCCCTTTAGGACAAATGCGAGAACGATGTCTGGTAGATGTTATCAGTGATACATGTGGATATCAAAAATAAATCACACATCACGACACACATTTGCCAGATATTTTCGACATTTCCTCACTGCTAATATCAACTAATATTAGAGATGTAAATTGCAATGAATAGAACAGGTGCAAACTAGAGACTTGGCTTTCCGAGTGATCCCGAGTCATTTACTAAGTATAGTAATTTTATTTCTGATAATTTCATTTTGAGGTTCAACGCGAATGGTTATTATTATTCGCAATATTTCGCGCCAGAAATGCATTAATAATAAATAATGCGATAAATGAAGAGAGAGAGAGAGAGAGAGAGAGAGAGAGAGAGAGAGAGAGAGAGAGAGAGAGAGAGAGAGAGAGAGAGAGAGGAATTTGTTAAATAATTATATTCAAATATATTTGGACAACGCGCGCAACATATTGGACTAATATGCAATAAACTGAGATAGATGCGAATGGTTTGAGGAATTTGCGCGATAAACGAATTTACGATGCGATGCGATCGAAGCGTATAATCCGCGCATTATTCGTATGCAGACGCTTTTAACGATGATCGATGAGCGACGGTATGTGGCATGCTAAGCGACATCGGTGATCGAATGCCACAGATGAAAGATGCTATAATTAACACGACTCGTCCCCGATCTTATAAATAACGCGAAACTTAGGTATTTTGGAAGATTGAGTTAGGTAACTATCTCTTTTGCACTTGATACATATATCATGGGCGACATCTCGCTTCAATTATCATTCGTGGACATATCAACGAATACTTATTCGATGATGATGTGTGTTTATTCTATCTTTTATGCGGTCGAATCTTTCGTTCCTTTTTTTTTTGAAATTGCTTAATAAATCCTTTTGCGCAGCGATCGAGAAGATCCTCGCTCACGGCAATAATCTGAAACCTGGCTCGGACAGCAATGCGTGCTCCCATCTGAAATTACCGATGACGGTGGAAACGACGTCGAAGGGGGAGAGATCATATAACACAAGCTTCGTCATGTATGTCGCCAGCGAGGAAGAGGAGGGCCTGTACAATCTCTACTTTCACAATTGTCAGAATTATGATAATAACAAAGAACCGCTGCTTGTGGACTTCACGGTGAGATTATGTGATGATTAGATTAGATGATCATTCATCACGTTGAAACATTCTTCTTGTAGGTGGAAATAGCGGAGATTAATAATGATAACTTTCTCAGTGCCGGCGAAATGCCATTGCCGGCTCTATATTTTACAATGGCTCTACTTTTTTTCTTGTCGGGCTGTTTTTGGGTATTTATTCTCAATAAAAGCAAGTAAGGGTAACAACATAATATGGAACATAATGATGAATTAGCAAAATAGAGTATAAATATTTTTGTGATATACAGGCATTCTGTGTTTAAAATCCACTATTTAATGGCGGTTCTGGTGTACCTGAAGTCTTTCTCATTGCTGTTCCATGGTATAAATTATCACTTCATCCAAACTAAGGGTGAGCACGTCGAGGCATGGGCGATTTTATATTATATTACTCATCTTCTGAAAGGAGCCGTTCTCTTTATTACTATTGTGCTCATTGGCACGGGATGGAATTTTATAAAGCACATTCTCTCGGACAAGGAGAAAAAGCTCTTTATGCTGGTCATACCATTGCAAGTAAACATCGATGTCTTTTGCTTACTTTCCCCTTTTAAGTAAATTTTGAAAAAAATCAATTTTTTTATCTATTAACATTACATAAATCTTAATATAAATTACTTAAATTAAACTTATAAAGAGATGTAATATAAAATCTTATAATAACTTTAATAATTTTTTATTAGTTACAAATAATGTGTTTAAAATTAGTTAAAATTAATTAGTTAAAATTAGTATCACAACATTAGTTATGAAATTATAAATTTTAATTTGACAAAATTGTAATATTTTTCTTTATACATTTAATACTGAAAATTAAATATACAAATTACATGTATAATACCTAATACATGACGAGTTTAAAGATAATATAATAATATAATAAGATAATATAATAATAGAAATGCATTTCCTTGATTTAGGTGCTGGCAAATGTAGCCGAGATTATTATCGAGGAGAGTGATGTGGGTAATCTGCGTCGTGAGACTTCGCGGGATATGTTCATACTTGTTGATTTAATCTGTTGTGGCGCAATTCTATTTCCAGTCGTATGGAGCATCAGGCATTTAGAAGAAGTTGCCCGCACGAGTGATAAAGCGGCGATGAATTTGCGTAAACTTATGCTTTTTAAGCATTTCTATATTATGATAGTCTTCTATATATACTTCACTCGTATTATAATGTACATACTCAAGGTACGTGGTTTCGTGATTTGGAATAATACCTTGTATCAATGTTCTGCGATTACGTGATTGCGAGTTATGAATTGTGTTGTTTTGACATATTTGGTAATCGTTTCCTTTTGCAGATCACAGTACGCTTTGACTACCAATGGCTGGACGAAACGTTCCGAGAGATGGCAACCTACGCATTCTTCGTTCTGACAGGATACAAATTCCGACCAGCGTCCGCGAATCCGTATTTCACGGTACCGAGTGATGAGGTGGATCCGGATGACGAAGACGATAAAACCGATGTTGTGTAAATATCAAATTAATCCGTGGCTTTTTCAATTTTTTTTGTTTTTAAACAATTTTTGAGAAAAAAATTAGATTTAATTATATATTTTAAATAAAATATATCAAATTAATGGCATATTAGAATATTGAAAGAGAGACTTGATGAATGATCATCATCAGATCATTACTATGAATAATAGCTATTTTACTTGTTTTGTTCTCTCTTTGCCTTAAAATGTTAATTATTTAAATTTATTATTGTTTTTTTTCTCAGCATTTCTGGTGGTAACGGAATCAACAGGGACTTCAGTAAAGTGAGTAAGGTACCGAGGGCGGTAAGATCTGCGACTTCAAAAGTACCGTCTACCGAGGAAGAGCGGCATTCTCTTTTCCATGCAGAATCCTCTCGCGAGTATGATTGAGGACAATAGAAATAAACATAGAGGACATAGAAATAAATCATGATAGATCGCGTTGTGTGTTTGCGATTTCCGAATTTTTGAGGCTACATTTTGGATTGAAGGTGTGAATGAAAGCGTGACGATAGGCGACGGTAAACTGAAAGAGAAGAGAGAAAGAAAGAAAGCGTTTCCTATTCTCAAATCTATTTTATATTTCTCAGAAGAAGAAGAAGAAGAAGAGGAAAAATACTGCTTTATACCCATAAATGTATATATCAGTATGTCGCAGTATGCGATGAATGATCGCGATGAGATTCACTTACGATTGGCACTTTATATTTCAACAATTTAACTTTAATTATGCATTTCATTGGACTATAAATTTCTTAACTCTCTTCCGCTTTCGTTATTTACCATTTAATCCGATTAATGAGACACCTCTTTTTTTATTTTCTTTTTTTCTTAGCGAGACATTCACTACGATTAGGGTAATTGTTCATCTTGACGTTCCATATTATAACAACGTTACAACTTCAACGTGAGAAAGGCGAGAGACGATACAAACGTTTTTCGATGCGCTTTTTGTAGTCGGTTTTTCATAAGCATTTAGAAAGACATTTTCATTTTCTTTTTTTCTTATAAGAAAAACACGCTGAAGCTATTTTCTTAGTATGAGAATCCCATCTCGCGAACAGCGCGAATACTTTTGTATCGCGAATCTTATTTTTAAACAAGTGACCGAACTGAATGATGCAATAAACTTATCTAACGATATGTGTCCTCTCGCGATATTATGCGATATTATATTAAGATTAACATATCAATGGCGGATCTATTAGTGACGCTAATATATCTTCTTTCCCAAAATATGAAAATATATTGCTTTCTATATTTTGGATTTTCTTCTTAGCTTTAAAATTTATAATAATTATATTAACTGTTCTATTAAATACTTGCAGTGAACAAACTTTTTGCAATATGTCAGAAGATTTTCATTAAATTCGATCAGATGTTAGTAAATTTCTATGTAGTACAGATTATTCTAAATACGTTGCAATAATGGCGTTAAGATATACATAATTATATTCATACATAAAATAATTATAAATATATGAAGATATTTAAAATAAGGGAAAAAATGATTTATACTTTTCAGGCTTTCACTTCATTAAGTTGCGAAATGTAGGTCCGCAATTGATTATCGTACTTATTATACATTGTCGTCACTATCGTTAAATTCAGGATCAAATTTACTATAGACATAGAAAGGATGGATTGCTCATAAAAGAAATATGACAACAAAATAAAATAGCAATACGATAACAAAATAAAATAGCAATATTTTAGACAACCATCCAAAGAAAATGAACAAGACAAATAAGAGTCGAAGCATGTAGAATGTAAAATTATTTGTTCTACAAAATATTATTTATACATTTCAATTCAACTTCGAGCTATCTTCAATGTGAAAGTATAGTGTGTTCAAAATTTTATTATTTTTCCTAGTTTCAAGTGAAAGTAAGAAAATCTTTTTGACAATTCTTTTATTGTCACAACAATATTTTGAATTTTTCATTTTTGACAATAACATAAGATTAAATTATCTTTTTATTAAATGAATACGCGAATAAATAACGATTTAGAAAATAATGACAATCATATTCATTGATTTGCCTTACATACCAAAACTATCAGAGAAATTTAAAGGAATTATAAAGAATTTAGATATCAATCTCTTAAACAAATTTGAATAGATTATTAAGGGGCACAAGAATATCCTCTCAAAACTCTGAAAAAGAATGTAATTTATAAAATCTTTTGTTCATTTTCATTGGATTTTTAAATACCAAAAATTTTTAGTTAATATATCAGACAATCAAATTTTTTTCTTTTATATTACAAGTGAAAACAAACAACTAATAAAACTATACGGTCTAGAGCGAAGCTATGCCTATTAGAAAAGGATAATAATAATAGTAATAATAATAAACCTGAAGAGGGGATGATCCTTTTCATAAAAATTCGCCAATGACTTAGACATAATCCAGAAAAAAAGGAATTCCTCAACTTCAAACTAGCTCATCTGTTCGGGCTCGAAAAATTTCGTGTTCAATACTTGATGTTCTAGATCGATAAATGGAAAATTATGTGAAAGCTAATATGATTATCGTCACATCCGCCTTCCCTTAGATGTGTTGTGTAATTCCATTCTATATTTATGGTAATGTGTGATACTACGATCTGTGTATAATTGCACCCTGGCCTCACCTTTTTCTAGTAACCTTTATACTCTTGATCAGGATTCTCATTAGATGAATCATCTAACATAATCTTGGCCTGCTTATATTTATTTCTGGTCCAATTCTTCTTTCCAATAGTTAAGATGCTATTCCTGTAAATAATTTCTAATTCTCTCCATGCCCAGACAGTATGACATACGCGAGTGCTGATTCCGGTTCCTCCATCTTTGTTACTGACTCAGATTTTGTTAATTGATTAGCGATTTTATTATCTTTGATCTCATTTGCATTCATCAGACTAATCATGATTTAAAAATGGACGCAATCAAGACCCTTAAAATTATTCAATTATTGGAGCATATCGTCTTAAGACGATAAGTTTACTCACTTTCTTTGATACAATCAGCGCTTGAGCACATCTTGTGATTTCCACTATCTCCAATAATTAGAAAAGGATTATGAGTGATTTAAATGACTTTGTTCTTTTTAATTCGAACGAACACTGTTTCCGTATAAATAAAATGAGAGCAATCTATTCTTCCTATACCTATGATGTCTATCCATAAAAACTAGTTAAAGATTTCAAAAAATATTACGCCCCGAAAGTACGGCCTTTTGATTATATCTGTGTTACTATAACTGTGTCGTATATATCGAATAGGACACGAAAAGTTGAAAGAATAAAGCGGATATTTTTATGAACGTGCTTCGTATATTTTTATTTTTCCCCCTGCACCTCGCGCGCGGGTATGTACGATAAAATGCTATGGAAAATTTACAATGCTGGCGCTACTTTGCGCTTACTTTGTTAATAATGGGATAACAATGGGAACTTGGAAAGATCGCCGCTTCGATCGAAAATTTGAATGTAAATCTGAAATATATTTTCATTTATTTATTGCATCTGAACAACGGCATAATTTTCAGAAGTTGTAAGTCGAAATGATCAAGAGAGAGGAAGAATTTTATGTCCGATTCAATGTTAACTGAAGCTTTGCAAAATGTATTTAATAATTCCTAATACCTGCAGCATCGTTACTTTTCATCTTCTTGCCCGCCGTGTACATCTACCCCTAGATACGTGAGAAACATCTCGACGATGATTGCACCACTGAGCTTGCTTCTGCCACGGAGCGAAGATAATCCTTTCACGTTTCTCGCCTGCAAGAAGAATGAACGTGACGCTCGAGATGAGATGAGAATTGTTCCCTCTTTTCTGGCGGAAGATCAAGATTAATATATATTCCGAAAGAAAGAATCGCTTTTCTCTATCGTCAGACTTTCACAAGCCAGTCCGGGGCGTGGTAAATTAAATTGGCAACCGAGTTTAGTCGACGGTTTAACTCAGTCAGTTTATACTTTGTGTTGGAAATGCGGAGCGATAAAGTAGATTTAGAATGACGTCGCTTTCATGGCTTTCGTCGTATACACGTATTACGTTTTTACGGTCGCCATAAACGCCGCTTGCGGTTTTGCATTGAAACGCGCGAATGAGGGGAATTGTCGGTTCTCCTTCGCGAGGCGCTTATGGAGGCGAAAGTTAAGGAGATCCCATGGGGACCGGGCGCCCTCGCGCAGTTTCCGCAGCGAACATCTAGGGGCAAGAAGGGAAGACCTCGGAGCGTAGCTGATACAGCTTTTATACAGCAGACGTCGTAACGATGCTCGCGTATAAGGTCTGATAAATATTTTACGCTTTGGATTCGTGACTAACTTGTTTTTACAGATCATATATTTTGTCGGTCGATTTATAAAAAGGTACCACTTTACGCGACACGAAATATCTGTGCCAGGTCTGAAGTTACAGGCAGATGTAATGCCCATGCTTAAGGACAAAAAAAAACATAATAAATCAACGAGAAAAATTGGTGACGAGAAAATTAGACGCCGATGTAATTGAACAACGGCATAATAAATTTCCAAGTTTAATTAATAAATGTAGCGGGGTTTTCTCGCTTTGGGTTGAATTATGGTAGGAGATGAAGATTACTTCTTTTGGTAATGCTTCGAATTTTATCGAATTTTTCACTCAAACTAACAAAAAGTATTTTTTGATAAAAATCTGTATTTCAAGACCGTCTATTATCATTATTTCCTAGCAAACTATCTCTTTCTGTCATGTACATTGTTCAACCGCAAACATACATCCTTACATATTTGATTATTCGACAGTCTGTCACAAGTGATGAAAGCAATATTCGGTTCGACGGATTTGCGACGGTTTATTTTGGCTCGTTATTGCGATAGATATTTACATAGCGAATTTACACGTCTAAATAAAACTCCTGTGAAGCGGTTTACAACGTTCTTCGCCCTTCGGATTGACTTGCATTCTTGATGTCAGAAGCTGCAATATATAAAGATGAAAATTACAAGCATTCAAAAAAATTGTCTGTCGTATATAAATTTTATAACAACAATATCTAACAATATATATATTTCTTTTATGTACATATAATATTTTTTATATATATTAAATGTCGCGTAATTATTTTATTAATCCAACAAATTATTTTCAAATTTGCGCATGATTGAATTTTTAGCATACTTAAATATTTTAGCAAAATCATTTTTTTTGCATATTTACTCTTTATTTGTATTTTCTGATATTATTTTTACGATCGTTGGTTATAAATGAAATTTATTATTAGGAATTTTATCGGCATAAAAACGAGAAAACTAGATCTTATCTTAAATAATGCAATGCAAAAATGCTGATCTATTTCTTTTTATTCAATGTGGCTGACGAAGTATCATTAAATTTACCACGTACTTCTACGTGATTATTTCCCAGATAAAGAGACGTCCCACGATAATGGCTATTCGGATACGTGTGTTAGATACCTTAATAAAATGACCATTATATGATGATGTGGGTCCTATTAAGATCTGCAGTGGCAACTCGCTAGGCGCAGAAGACACGTAGAAATCTCTTTTCGTGAGTTTTCCTTGTCCCTTGTTGACCCCATGCCTTGTCGTGTCGACCTCATGCCGAGACACGCCGGTTCTTAAGTTCCATTCTCCATGGACCGGGCGCACAATCATTCCATTTCGGCTAAAATAGTTATGTGTATTACTTTTGACGAGCTTGAAAATCTTCTGTGCAAAACACAAGTACTACACGGATTCTTGATATGTCTGTTGCAATGTACAATAAATGCCGAGTTGTTATATGTACAACTTAAAGTATCTAATGTTTTATTTTTAGAATCGATTGTCGCTAACCACTAATGAACCACTAATTATTAACAATACTCCTCTTCAGTCTCTTTAAAAAAAGTTAATAAATAAAACAGTAGTATTAGAGAAAGAGTATCAAGAAATATAAGCGATAAAAATAAACAAAAAGAAACAATTTAACAAAGTTGGGAGAAACTACAATTGTAAACATTAAATAATCATTTAAAAAATAAAATAATGAATTAGAATTTCAGTAATATAAGGATATGTATCATGATAAGAGTATATGTATTCAACATAAACATTTGCGGAATGCAAAATGAAGAAGATTGGTCTTTGTCCTATGTCTCTACATCTTATTTTTGAAGTAAGTTAGAGCCTTTTAAAAATCCGCAGGTGCGTCCCTCAGAAGAAACGCCGCGCGTTTTTTGTTCAGATGTTCAGACTTTTTTGACCCCCTAAAAAGTGTGAAAACACGTGTACTATAAGCCCTTTGAAAAACGATATGCAGCCACCGTGACGGTCGCCATCTATCGGATAGATCGTCATAGATCGTGATTGCGGTCGATATTGTCAATATCTTCTTAATGGTGTAACAAGTATAGGCGATTTTTAATTCATCGATTGATAATAAATCGCTATAATGCGCAAATGCTGCTTTTATACAGCAAAATTGCATTTGCGCGTAAATGCGATTTATTAATCGATGAATTAAAAAAATTCGCCTATACTGTTACACATTACCATTAAGAAGATATTGACAATATCGACCGCAATCACGATCTATGACGATCTGTCCGATAGATGGCGAGCGTCACGTTTTCACGGTGGCCGCATATCGTTTCTCAAAGGCCTTATAGTACACGTGTTTTCACACCTTTTTTAGGGGGGGGGGCAAAAAAGTGTGAACATCTGAGCAAAAAACGCGCGGCGTTTTTTCTGGGGGGCGCACCTGCGGATTTTTAAAAGGCTCTAACTTCTTCAAAAATAGACGTAGAGACATAGGACAAAGACCAATCTTCTTCATTTTGCATTCCGCAAACGTTTATGTTGAATACATATACTCTTATCATGATATCCTTACATTACTCGTCTTATTATATAATTTTTGTTCCTTCTGTTAGAAGAAATAGCGTGCGTACAGCGTGCATTCGTTTGTAGTGTTTAGTTTTTAATAAATTTGAAATGTAGCAGCTCAAAGTTAAATCTTTTCTCTTTAATAAATAATTGATTGACAAATAATCAATAATTAATATATCAATAATCAATATATCAAATTAATGATATCAATTATCTCGTTTTCTCTCACGAGAAATTCTCATATATAAATATATAAATTTTTATTTCAAAAGTAGTACACTTTTCAAATCATTTTCAAATCTCTAAATATTCAATGTTAAATATTCAACATGAAAAAAAATGATAGAAATTTAAATAATATAACATTATGAACATATCTTAAGAGCTTACAAATAGAGTAGCTAGGGATATCAGAAACATAAACGTCTCATTGTCTCTCCTTCATTTCATCATCTTATTTCTAACTTTCTCCATCTACATCATAGTTAAAGCCACGACTTAGAAAGGGACGGGAAAACGGTTGGAATTAGTTAGCTAATATTCCGAGTTGGAAACTACCTGGGATTAGTTGATCAAGGCTCTCAAGGGGTAACTGACCCTTTTGTGGAACGCGAGTCGGAACGCGGAAAGCTCGACGGTGGATATCATCGAAGGATCCGGTCGCGGAAGCCGCCCTACGCAATTTACCGCGTTGATACAGGACGACGACCTCCTCTTCGTGGTACGCGTCGTTGAGCGAAGGTGGTTACGAGCCATAAATCTCAATCCTCCGTAGCCTAGTTAACAGCGTCTAGCCGTCCAGGTAGCCCAGACGAACATCATCTCGTTCCCCATTCTCTCGTTGTAAAAGTCATCCTGCGTGTATTATGTGATTAAAGTAAACTTGTAGATGCACCGATTTAATTGTTCAAGTCCATCATTTTATTCACCGAAATTTTTCACCGAAGGATCTGCGTACGGAATGATGCTGTGACAATACAGTGATCCATGATTTTTAATAGATATGGGTATTTCCTTACATTTTTTATATTCTCCAAATTCAAAAGTAAATTATTTGGAATATTTGTATTTGGAAAAGAGGTTGAAATGTTTGCGACATTTATTCTATTTAAATTGTGGATTGATCACTTAGAATTTAAATCGCGAAGATTGGTATTAGCCGTAATGCATTCCGCGATGCATTCCGCGTAATGAACTCTAGGCAAAGTCGTAAGACGTACGGATTCTAATTATCATTCTCTCGTACTATTTCGCAAGTTTATCCATCGTGATGCACTCCGTGATGCGAAGCGCTCTCGAGCACTTTCCAGAGCGGGAGGGTGGCGCCGAGCGTATGAATATCAGATGAGTGCTCGCGCCGCGGACGAGTGAGTACGGACATTGCGATTAGATTAAGGTTTAGTATATTTATAGAACTCACGGTTCCCGTCGTGATTGGCGTCATCTCGTTTACCCACACTTCGCAGCAGCATCTTGTTAATTCCGCCTCGCCACCGCCATCGCCGATGCCGCGAGATGATTCCGATTTCCACCCCAATCATCCCTGCGCGTTGTCGCACGCATCTCAACGAGGGAAATACATATCTGAGTTCTTTCTCGTATGAACATTTATTCGACTCTACGGTTCTTAGGAGTCACTTCCTGTTCGATAATATCGCGAAACTTTTTCGCGATGGTTTCCGCGGGAGCTTTAAGGGGATCCTAAAGAGAGTGATGGGAATAACCGACATATCACAGTGCATCAAAGAACTTTTTGTTGGCTTTACAGATTGCAAAATCCTTTCAGGCAATTAAAATACACACGAAAAGAATATGCGGGACGGTCGATTTAACGAGGAAATTAGAAAAAAATTAAAAAATTCACTTAATTTTAACTTGTACAGCTGTCACTTCAGACCTTCCTTGCTGTTATAATTGCATGATAGAGCAATGGAGAGAAATATATCCACATGTGAACATCATAAAAATGGACAAGGTGTCTCCGTAGAATTTATAGTGATTATGATGATAATGATGTATGATGTCTTTGATGTATATATTGAAAATTGAATGAAAGATCAATTAAAATAAAAGAATACATGTTTTTTTGTTGTAATTGATCAAATTTCATGTAATTTCGATCTTCAATACGTAATCTATGAATTTAATATATGAACATGAAAATAACCGCGCGCGCGTATTTATGCTTCATTACGTATGTGCAATATATACATGTTCCCTTTGAGAAGAATACATGTAATGTCCATCGTATCCCGACCTATAAGGATATTGGACATAGCGAAGAATGACTACTGTATTGACAATACATGTATACAATATATATATATATGTGTGTGTGTGTGTGTGTTGGTGTGTGGTGTGTGTGTGTGTGTGTG